AGCTAAGCAAAGAATGTTCTCTTGCTAATATATATACTGTGGTTGATTTACTAAAACAGGAGAGTGCAAAATGTGGTGCAGCTCTGCATAGAAACCAGTCAGTTTCCAGGGTTTTTTTGTCAAAGCTTAATTGAACAAGGTGAAGTTTTAAACTGATTGGCTACCATGCATGCTGCACTAGATATTGCACTCCCCAGTTTTAGTAAATCAACCCCATTGTATATCTGCTTGCTTGTTGATTAGAAGCAAAATTTCACATAATACATCTTCAATAACTATGCGCTGAAAGAGACAATCCATTGTTGATCTCTGTTTAAAATACAGGTTGTCTGGTTGACATGCTAACCCCCTGGCTTTGACGATTTCTCAGTGGCCTGAAGCATGATGAAAATTTAGTTCTAATTTGACACTGACTTCACCAGCTGCAAACGTGTTCCAGGCCATTGGTTCAGGATGCACCAAAGCCAAAGAGTAGCATGAGAGCCAGACAACTAGTATTTTCAGGAGGCCACCAATGCTTGAAAGATGTCTAACCCAGAGATTAAAAATGTAATATATTGCAGCTTGTCAGTCCTTAGATATGGTGGCTGCATTTGTTTTTATTTTTTGGGTTTGGTACATTTTCCACAAGAACAAAAAAATCTAGCTGTTGATCCTACCAGAACTATAGTGTCCTTATAACCTCCTGGATTCTGAGTTCATGCCTCAAACTTTCCCGGGTATCTATTGTGGACTACATAACACTTTCTCTTACGTAACAGAGATGAGGAAAGGGGGAGTTGTTTGTAGTTTATACCAGGAGAACAGCTTACGATGATATTGCTGCTCGTCTATAAATATAGTACGGCAAGTGAGCGTTGTCATCCTAGGACAGGAAGTGTGTTACTGGGAGGATTACCAGATGAAAATTAGGAAAGAAACTTTGACAAACAGAAACTAATGAAGCTACCACATCTAAAGACTGGTAAGCTGCAATATATACAATGATTGTTTATAAATGTAGATACACTTTAAAATACACTTTAAGGTAGTCAAGGCATTATTTAACATTGTGTTGTCATTTTTGGCTTATTTTTTAATTTGCTAAAAAAATTCAGTTATTTAATAATTAGTTAATAGTTATTGTGACAATTTTGAACAGGTATGCAGAGCAGAAAGGAGTATACAAATTATGTCAGCATTGAGGTAACCAGCTGTGCATTTTGGTACCACATCTATATATTCCTCAAACCTATTTTAAAAAAAGGACCTCAAAGACCAGCTCAAATAATGTACCATAAAGTACATATGTACATAGTATACACTGTATGTGATAACAGCAGTAGTAATAAAAATAATGATGGTTACCTGTTATGCTATATGCATATGGCAACAAAACCTCTTTAATAAAAAAATAATAATAATAATAATGAGGGTGAGATAAAATCCAGACAGCAGATCTCCCCAGTAAGAATAAAAGTCTTTCCTATAATTTTTTCTTTTACTTTCTTTTTTTTCTGTTAGTTTACATCTTTATAACAAAGTCTTCAAAGAAGCATCACCTTTCTCAGAAAATAAATCCTTGCCTGGGATTCAGACAAATAAAAGTTAAAGCCAATATCCAGAGCACAGGCATGTCAAGCTGTATGCTAGCTCTTAATGGAACCTAGCACTGATAATTGATTCAATAAAGGTGCTGATATTGATAACATCAATACCAAAAAAGTTCTGCTCTTCAAACCTGTATCTAAAATGTTAGACATTGACAATGTAAAATATAGATATCCCCAAAATGTGATACAGACACTGTGGAGAAAATCCATGAACACAAAGTGAAACAGAATATTACATGCTGTGTTGTGATGTATACAGAAAAGGAAAAAACTATCATTAACAAATACTTTATTACAAAGACATATGATTAGTCGCTTTGATTTTTAGAGTTAAAATATTATGAATATAAGAAAGATAATGAATTTAATATCAAATGGTGCAACATGAAAAACATCCATTCTTTCATAGCAATACAAATGTGTGGGCAACATCATTAAAGTAGTATTAAACCCTCAGTGTTTTATAGCTTAGCACATTGAGCACAAATAAAAACATTCCCCAGTAAACTATTTGGTAAAATTCTTTCCCAAGCACTTGCAATTTACAATTTTCAATGCTGCTGGCTCCTGCTCTATCAGTGGTGCAGTCTCCTGCCAGTCTGCTAGCTTGGAGAAGGAAGGGGCAGGGGAGTGACTTGTCATTCTAGGCCAGGGGTGTCAAACTGGTGGCCCTCCAGCTGTCGCGAAACTACAAGTCCCATCATGCCTCTGCCTTTGGGAGTCATGCTTGTAACTGTCAATCTTGCAATGCCTCATGGGATTGTAGTTTGGCAACAGCTGGAGGGCCGCCAATTTGACACCGTGTTCTAGGCTACGGGGCTGTGTATTTCTTTTGATGCACACAGTGTAGGAAGACATAACTCTAGTCCCTGCATGCAAGGGTGACTCCATAGGATTCTGCAAGAGAAAGGAGCCTCCCTGAAACAGAAAATCTGAAGCCGCAGTCATGGTACTAGCTTAAGCAGAAGTATGGGCAAGGATTAAAAGATAAAACGTTGTGTGCTCAATAAGTGATTAAATCAGTTGCTGAAAGCGCTTTAACAAACTGAGGGTTTAATATCACTTTAAAGGAAAGCTCCGGGATTGTTATCTTTGTCCTTATTGCTCTATTTAGTAAGTCACTGACCCAGAACAAACATACATGTATGAGATTTTCCAGGTCACTGTCTTAAGAAGAACCTAAACTACCGATAACAGCCAATAGCAACTTCTGTATTCCTTTTTGCCATGTTCCTTATAAAGTGTGAGATTTGGAATTCAGCCAATGAGAAGTTTATTGCAGATTTGTGAATAGCTGACTTATAAGCGTGTAGCTAACACATAGCAATGCATCATAGAGAGGTCATGCCACTCATATAAGCTGAATTGCTAGGACATGAATACAAATTAGCCAGTATTGTTAAAGTGTATGTCCTGCCAAATGTATTTTCTTAGTTTTGGGTAGAGTTTGGATATGTTAGAACCTCTGTCAGGTTTTTCCTTTTATCTGCTCTTTTAGAGAGATTTTCCCTTCACTTCCTGTCCTGCTGACAACCCTTTACCAAACTGGCAGTAAATCAAACATTCCAACAGCAACACAAATGGAAATAATTTTTTTTATCTCACCTCTTTCAGGTAAAACCATTTTCAGGAGGACAGGAAGTGAGGGTAAATCTGCCTGAGGACTCGTTTACACTTGCAACACAGACTGACACTCTTCAGCAAAGAAATCTGCACTCAGATCCCATATCAGAAGCCTTTGCTAAGCAGTGAGGAGGTGATATGTTGTCTTATCATCTTCTGTTTTAGCTCTTTAAATGCTGCAGCAGCATGCATAACACGTGGTTGTGTTGTGGTTGCAACACCTCACTTGAATGGGTCCCATTCAGCAGGCAGTAGTACCTGCTGAACAGAACAGGGGGTATAATTCCTGCTGCAGCTGTGATTCTTTGCTTGGGTACACCCCTGGCTGCTGCCTTGGTAGCTTAAGGGAAATCAGTTGGAGGATGGTAAAAACACAACTCAGACACATGTTTTTAGCACCTTCCAACTGCAAATGTACACAAGAACTAACAGAACTGCAGATAGCACTAAAAACCTGACAAGAATCCTTCCCAACCCTATCAAAAACTAGAAAATATTTTTGGCTTAACATACACATGTAGGCTGGCCATACATTATACCATTTTCTTGAGAGTTTTGGTTTAGATTTACCAAAAAACAAAATAGGAGGTCCTATTGGGCAATTGTAAATTGGACAGAAAATTGGGCAGAAATATTGTATAGTGTATGGCCAGCCTAAGGCTGCCTTCACACAGCTTTCCAATCAGGATTGCCTGCCAGTTTTCCAGGTGGGCCTGATCAGAAGCTAAGTTCAGGTGTATAGGCAGATGGATATACATGGACTTGTGTCCATTTACTTTCACATACCTCTGAGTTTTTCTAGGTCTGGACCTAAATGTGGCAGATGGGACAATGGAAATCAAAGTTCTTTTATATCTGGCTGACAATGAAACCATCATGGGTCCACCACTGTCAAAATGCAGACAAAAATTGATATCCATCCCATTTTGCACTAATTTGGAATGGAGTGGAGTGCCCCAGTGTGAAAGGACCCTAACAGTGTCTGCATTGAGAGTCTTGAACAGCCAAGATAACATTGTTGCCTTAGTAGACCGTTGTAGAATTCAACAGGTAAGTCCTTTTCAGACAATGACAAGCTGAGTGTGTGAACCTCAGAACATAGAACAAGAGCTAAACTGGCCAAACAAATGGCAGCAGTTCACATAAACATGCGTTCTTGTATCATAAATGGATGCTCATCCCACAGTACTATTCACTTCACAGGGATTCATATGTATTAGATGACTTCTGTGTCAACATGTAATGGCTATTAAAAAAAAATGCACAGAATACAAACAACTGGTAAGATAACACTGGATGTGATGAAAATGTTTGTCCTATTCCCCTTTACTTCTAAGATAAGACTGGTTGTGGTTCATAGGTCTATAGGTACCTGTAAATATGGTAAATTATTGAAATAGATATGTGTGTTGTCCTTCCTAACATACACACAAATGTCTTCCTTGCTAAATTGGAGTTTTGACATTGAGAAATTCTATCTTTTATTCTTAAAAGACAATTAAAATATCCATCTGATGCTGAATGAATATTTACTTGGCCTGTTTGTAACCTATTTAACTATTTGCTCAGCAATACTTGCCTGCAGTTTATTATATATATATATATATATATATATATATATATATATATATATATATATACATATATCTTCTTCCCTATTTATTCCTGTGCTACAAAAGACATAGATTCCCAGACAGCGAAACAAAATGATTGCTTTGCTTTTAGCTTGGACATGTCTAAAGAGAACTGTACAATGCTGGCTAAACCGTGAGAGGCTGACATCACACAGTACCAGGGGCGGACTGACCATTTGGAAACTCGGCCACTGCCCGAGCGCCCGGGGTCAGTAGGGGGCCCCATGAGATGCCCCTGGTACCTTTTTCATAGGCTTTTTTGCGTTTGGGCAAGGACACAGGGGCCCCATGATCCCCTATTGCCCGGGGGCCCCATGAGTTGTCAGTCCGCCCCTGCACAGTACAAATCCCAAAAAAGAGCTTATGTGAGCTGAAAGTAAAGATTGCAGGAACAGTGGCTAGTGGAGTGTGTTCTTTTGTATTTTATAAAGCATGGGGGGAGAAGGGGACGCCATGTTGATATTTACCCTGCCTGCTAATCAATCATGAACAAGATTGTCATGTAAACAGGTACCCTTTGTAACTAGGTACCTAGGCACCCCACTGGACTGGTAAGATACTACTGCTCTTTTAAGGTACTTCTCTGACAACATGGCGTTACACTTTCCACTGGCAGTAGGACACTCATAGAATTGTGCTGATACCCTACCATTCTTTAAACTAATGACAGTTGGACTCCCATACTGCAATCCCAGTTCTGTTAGCATGGCATGATGCTGACTCTAACATGGCATTTATTCTGACTCAGTTAACAAGACTGATAATGCATGGTATAAATCAGTGCCCAATTTGTTTTCTCCTACATATGCAAATGTCTGCACATCCATCATCCATGTCTATAATCAAAGCTGATACCCCAGTGGAGAGGCATAAGTTATATAACAGAAAAAAAACAGATTTAAATGATCAAACCCTATAATCTCATTTCATGTCTATATATCTTTTTTTCATTCGTTATTGCATTTACTTTAGTGACTAAATTTATTGTTCAAATTTAAAGTAGGGACATTCACAGCAGCTTTGTAACAATTTCTAATTTTAGAAATAATGAGTTTGCATTAATAGGGTTTTATTGCATATTTGGATACACATGTACATATGTTATACATAAACAATGTAAATAACAGCAATTTTTCAACTAATAAAGGTATATTTGTTTAATCTGCCGCATTATGGTATAACACTACAAATCTGGTGCATTTATTTCACTGTCCCTAATCTTCACAGCTTCTATAATGAGTTTACTAGTCATTGATGAATTTGAACTGGATGTCTCCTTATTTAAGCAATATTTCCATACATGCCCTGTTAATGGTAGAAGCAAATGCCATGTCTTTTTTGCAGGAGCAGATTTTTATGTAACAAGTCTAGAATGTAATTTTCATTTCACAAATTAAATCAGTCTTGCCGTCTGTTTTTCTGTCATTGCATTAGAGGGCACACAGGCACAGTTCTTGCTCTTATTTTAATCTGTAAACGGATTACTCTAATACATAGCTTTATAGAAATGCTCCAGGCTAAGTAATAATGTGGAGTGGTGCATGGGGGATGAAAAGCAAGTTTTTTTTATCTTTGTCCCCCATTTCAACAGCTACTTCTCCTGAAGGTCTTACTTTTAGCAATTCCTTGTCAAGGTGTTTGGCCAGCTGATGTCTGTATTTCTAGCACTATGATGTCCAAATCAAAGGCTAAAACATGTCATTAACAGCATGTCAGCAAGAGTTTTTTTCTTTTTTTTTTTTAAATTTAGTTTTAAATTAGGGACGAGTTAAAACACAAAGTTATTTTTGATGCTTGTGTTCCACTAAGGATATTTCTGCTCACTTCCTGTCCTTACAAAGTGAATGGAATTCCCATGTTACAAAGCTGTCATAGGAACATGTTTTACAACTTTCTTACTTTTCTTGGTGACAACCCCCAAATTTTGTTTTCCCCAAACACTTTCTCAATGATAGAGGTCAGTAATATAGGGGTACAATTTTCCAGTGGGGACCCAGACAGCAATAAAAGCTAAAAAGAAAATTGACTTTACATATTAAAGTGGAACTTTAATTAAACAAAAAAATCATGATACACCAGGTTTTTTTTATACAGAAAAGACATAGTGGGGTTTATTTACTAAAGCTGGAGAGTGCAAAATCAGGCTCACTTCTGCACAGAAACTAATTAGCTTCCAGGTTTTATTCTCAAAGCCTAATTGGACAAGCTGAGGTTATTAGCTGATTGGTTTCTATGCAGAAGTGAGCCTGATTTTGCACTCTCCAGCATTAGTAAATAAATCTCACCATGTCTCTTCTGCAATTAATGTTCCTTACCTGCCTGTCTGCACTGTACGTTCTGCTGCGCATGTGCAGCTTTCTATACAGTTTCGGCATCTGCCAAAAAGAATGATCTCCCATGCATGCACATGAGTGATGCCATCTTGGCCCAGCCAATCAAAACAGGTGAAGATCGGAATCTAGAAAGATCGCTAGAGTGGATGTGTGTATAGTTCCACATTAAGGATTTGTTGATCAACTGCCTTCAATCCACATTACTTCTCAACCTGGAATTCTCCTCTGGGTTAATCTGCCCAAGGCTAAAATGTTAGTTTTTGGTAAATGCTGGAGTTTAAGTAGATCCAAAGGCAAAACTTTTTCTTTGATTTTGGATGGAGTAAGGAAGGGCTATAACCTTAGTTAAGTTTTTTTGTTTTTTACATCTGTGCCCCACTAAGGAGATTTCCCTTCACTTCCTGTCCCATAGCCAAAACTAGAAGTGAGAGGCTATCCCTCCAAAGTGAGGGTCTCCAGAAGTAGTGTCCCTCTTGGAAAATTTCCCCTCTATTACTGTTCTATGAACAACCGAAAAATTTGGGTTTTCATTCACTTTCACTTTAAATGATATCGGTAAACTGGACAAACAGAGATGGTAATTGGGGGCACAGACAGCAAAAAAACTTAACAAATGTTTTAACCCCTCTCCACTCTTTCTAAAAATAAAAAAGTCTTTAGTTATACTTTTAACAACCTGTTTATTATATATTTCAAGGATTTTGTTGTTGCAATCACTGTGCTGAATGTGGCCTGCACACCTCATGTGACCATTAATGAGAAGTTGCCAGTACTGTTGGATTTACACAATAGAAAATACAAAACGAGTTTCTAAAATACTCAAACCCCCCCAAGTGGACAGTAACAAGAGTTGGAAATTATGACAGGAAGAACCTTGCTCTTGGAATATCTGAGCTATATAGAAAGTCTGCAGCCCACCAGGGTTCATCTATAACTATAATATCACAGTTGGGTTGACTGATCCTTTAAGGCGTTCTTCACTTGTAAAGGTGCCAATAAACATTAGATGACATTCTTCCATTGTTGACATTTTGTTGCTGGTTTGGGCAGTGATATAATGTTCTTGGGCACCAAAAGCCAAGGCTTCTTAGGGGAATAATGACTGGTTGACTTAGAAAACAGTGTATGATCACTACTATTTGTCTCCTGGTAAGCTGGAGACAAGGGGTTGCTTTACTAAAGGCAAACAGACTATTCAGGTTGCAAGGGAAGTTGTACTTTGAAAAGGAATTTCCCCAGAGCTTCGTGAATGAGGTAAATCGCTGCTAACTTCCATCATCCAATCATGTGCAAGCAAAAATGCTGTATTTTTCTTGTGTGTGATTGTGTATTCTTTGCAAGTTCTTGGGAAAAGCCATTTTCAAAGTGCAACTTCCCTTGCAAATTGAACAGCCTATTTGCCTTTAATAAATCAACCCCATGGTATCTGTAGTGCAACTCCTACACCTCTAAACATGAACAGTTCTCTGAGGTGGAGCAGCAGGACATAGGCTGCCTTCTCACTCTAAAATAGAATACATAGTTTGTTGCAAACAAACATCTTGTGCTGCGCTGTTTAAATTACATAGTACACATGGAATACCCTTTGTTTATAGTTCTGAAAATAAAATATATAAAATTCCCTACTTCCATTTCAGTTATGACCACTGAACCCTATCAAAGGTACACATATTTGCAAAAAAAGGATTTCAGAGATTACTAGATATAGAGTTAATATTGAGGGTTAAGAAAGGGTAATTTATTAATGGGAGGGTTGTAGAACAACTTACCTGGCATTAATGAGGTACTGTGCTAAGCTGATATTTGCTGGAGATCCTGTGATTGTAACTTGCCTTTCACCATTGCCTTCTGAAGCATTTGCGATCTTGATCTGTGCTCCTGACATCTGCCTGATTTCGTTAATCTTGCTACCTTGTCGCCCAATAATGCAGCCTATTAGCTGAAAACCAGAAACATTGTTTGATTAAGAAATTGCAATACACATCTGATTAATAAATACACTAACATCAAAGAATATAATGCCACATAATGCCAGTCTAAGCTAAAGTATTTCTATATTTTCTTATGTCGGTGTTGTTAAGATATCTTATTATAATATATTATTAATTAAGTATCCATTGCTGAAGCTGGGTGGGCTGTACATGAGATGATCTCTTGTCCCATTTTACAATGGTGCTGGTTGTATCTATTGTCCATAAAGAGTTACCATTAATCTGCCACCCTACAATTTAATGGGAAGTCCATTGTAGTCAAATAAACAAATCGGTAATTTCTGGTCATTGAAAAGTTGCGGTGGAGCCTGTACAGAGGGGTAGTGGAAAAAAACTTTTATGCTGCTGTTTATCCCTTCACCTTCCCAATCCACAGGGCCAGTGAAAATTTATATAAACTACTTAGCTCATCCATGGTTACCATTTAAATGGCTATTGAACTTTCAGCGAATACTATTACATCTTTGTTTGAAGGAGAAGTACAGCCAAAGCTCTTTTGGATGTACTTCCCATGTGGATCACAGAAGTGCAGTTCGTTCTGCACTCCTGTGATCCGTTTTCAGCTGACAGCAGAACTGAAGCCCACTGTCGGCTGATGTCACTCAGCCGGTCCAGACTGGGGAAAGATGCCGACTTCCCTGTTGGAGCAGCACCTAGGTCAGCCTCTCGACGAAGCACTGAGATAACTGCTCCCACCCCTCCACAACCCAGAGCTCCAGTGAATGCTGGGGGGGCAAGCAGACAGCGGTGACTGACAGTCCCGCTCTTTGCTCAGACTGGAGAGGACAGTTCATGTGATCGCTGAGTTCTCACCCTTAGAGCCAGCGGGGGATAGCAGAAGCATCGGCACGATGCTTCCTACACCTAGTTAGGTATAATGGGGGAAAGAAATGAATTCCATACTTCTCTTTTAAGACAGGGAGTACACTTTATCATACATAACTAATAATGTTTTTGTAACATTAAGGTATGTGTTGTCTTCCATGGTAAAAATACATAATATCCAAAATTGTTTGCATTGTATGTAGAAAAATATTAATTTCTTTTCATCAAAAGGTTTAAATTAAAAAAATAAACTCTGGCTCGCTGTACTGTATCCAATGCCCATCCAACAATAACCTTCACCGCATTTATAAGAAACGACATGATGTTGGAGAATAGTCACTTGGAGAATAGTTAATGTATAATGGGCATTTCAGGATAAATGTGCATTGAGTGTACAATAATGCTTTATAAATAAATAGAGCAGAATCACAGAATAGCACAGCAACTGAAAGCTTCTGATGGAACAGTCTGATTGTCTGCCCTTAGAAATTAAATTAGATGTTTTTAAAATCAAAATATGATAAATGAATGCACATTCCTCTCTATAGATATGTAATTTGTAATCTTTGGTTTACAAATATATAAAGCCAGGTATAAGGTTAAGTTTTACTATGCTTTAAACCATATTAGTATACTTTTATTATAACTTGTCTTATTTTCTTTAATCACACCTATTTTGTGATCTAATTTTTATAGTCTGTTCAATATTCATTTTACATTATACCAATTGTTACATAAATCAATAGAACATAATGTATTCATTTATTTTTTATGACTAAAAACAAATGAGCGTATAATTAACATTGTATGATAGGATATCACATGTCATAACTACGTCATTTGTTTTCAAAATTTAATCACTTTTATTTTTAAAACTACAAATTCTCCACTTTGGAATGTGCAGTGAATGTCTAATTTGCCAGGCTTTGAATAAGATATACAAAAAGAACAATTTCCCATTGGAGAACAGATGCTGGTACATTTTTGTAAAGTTTCTTAATGAAGCAAATATGCAGGTAAATGTGTTTAAAATTTCATGATGCATTTTCTGCCAGGGAATATGTAGTAACTAGGTTGGAAATGTTGCATTCAGTACCTTATAAATACAGCCCACTATTTTAACTGAGTGATGCTATCAGTACATACTAGGCAACAGTTTGGCAGGACAGTCCCTTCTTTTAGTCCACTGTCCTGTGACTTCTTTGTACCAGGCTGTGTTCTGAGAGCCCAGCCATGGGGACAGCTGCATTTCCCTGTCTTTTCAGCTTTGTTAATGTGCTGTAAGTGTAAATATATACACTATCTGGCTAGTCCAGGTTAGCAGGGGTCCTGACGGGGTGGGGGGGGGGGTGTCTTCAGTCTTTAGCTCTCCCCTGTCCTCTAATTAGGTTAGGATGTCCCCTAAGGCTTATGTATATCTTCCCAGGCAGCTAGAGTTGGTGGTGGTGGTGGTTTGGGGGGGGGGGGGGCGAGGGGTTTGGCTGCCTCTTTCACTCCTCTGAAGATTGGGAAGGAGGAGGAGCCCGGGAAGTCATCCATCTCCAGCCATGAGGTAAGTGACTGAGCACCCTGACACTATATACTGCCCTAGCTTGACACTACATGCTGCCTTAGCCTGAGACTGTATACTGCCCTAGCCTGACATTACATACCATCCTAGTTTGATGCTACATTCTGCCCAGTCACTACATACTGCTCATTGACCACCCTGTCACTACCTACTGCAAACTTACTGCCCTAACACTACATACTTCTCACTGACTGCTCTCAACCACTACATACTTCCTTACCATGACACTACATCCTACTGTCCTGCCATTGCATATACTCCTTGTCTTCCCTGGCATCCTTGTCTTCCCATGGCACTAGGGGATCACCCCTGACCCTAGGGTACGCTCTCACCCTCTATACTGGGCAGTGAGTTTCCAAATGACCGCCCCTATTCTGCCACCACATACTGCCTGCCACCACATACTGCCCTACCACTATATTCTGCTTACTAACTGCCCTGACACTACATTCTGCTCACTGACTGCCCTGACACTATACACTGTTCACTGACTGCCCTGACACTACATACTGTTCACTGACTGCCCTGTCACTACATACTGCTCACTGACTGGCCTGTCACTATGTACCACTCAATGACTGCCCTACCACTACAATCCTCCGTCACCTGACACCAAGTACTACTGACTGCCCTGACACCACATATTGCCCTAGCCTGACACTACATATTACTGTCTGACGTTCCTGACACTACATACTGCCCTAACCTCACACTACTGACTGTCTACCCTGCCACTACATACTTCTCACTGACTGCCCTGACACTGCATACTATTTACATCCTACCACTACATACTGCTGACCAACTACCCTGCCAATACATATTGTTCACTGACTGCTCTGCGACTACATACTCACTGATTGCCTTGATGCTACATAATGCAGACTGACCATCCTGCCACTACATATTGCTCACTGACTACCCTGTCACTACATACTGTTCACTGTCTGCCCTGCCACTACATACTGTTCATTGAGTACCTTGCCACCGCATACTGTTTGCTGATTGCCTTGCCACTACATACTGCTCACTGAGAGCCTTGCTGCTACATACCATACAACCCAATAACAACACAAAAAATCCAAAAAAAATCCTTACTCGCCTCATCATCTCTGTGATGCTGCAGCTGTCCAGCATTGGCATTAAGCCAAGAACTAAGTGATTACATGACCACTGATTACTCAATTCTGTCACTTTCAGTCAATGCTCTCCTCTCTGTTCATCCAGTGCTCTCTGGAGTACCAGGCAGAGAAGGGGTGGGTGTAGCTGGCTTTGGCTCTCAGATGTGCAATGTTGTCTGGATCCTTCCAGAGCCTGGGGTGGCTCTGGCACATTAGACTCTGGGTCACAGTAGAGCAAAAGTGCACTTCTGTGACCCTCAAGAGATGTATGGCCAGAAAAGCTTTGGCCATACTTATCTTTTAATTAAAGTATGGCATTAGGTCACCGATATGCCTCTTGTAAACCAAGCCAATTAAATGAATGCCCCACCCCTAATTAAAGTATATTTTCTGCCTACATGACTTCCTGGACCCACAGTAAAAAAAAGGTTCCTGGATTTTTTTTCAAATGTTGGCAACTATGTCAGTATGGCTGAAAAAATCATCAAAGTATTGAGATCTTATTTTTAACTTCAAGAACATAGGTACAGTATATGATAATGCTGTCTACCACAAATAGTCAGGTTCATTTTTCCAGATAAGCATTATAAAATAAAAAAAGGAAATTGGCTGGGTGTGGTAGACAGCATTTACAAATTAGACCAACATAGTAATGAGGATATACCTAAATTACAAGGGAAGTCAGAAAAGCAAAGTCTTATTCTGATTGCAGTATATTTTCCATGTAAACATGTTTAGCTTATTTTTCTAAAAATAATTCCTGAGACAGATAAACCAATTATTGTAAGCCCTGGGTGAGCCTGAAATTGAGCCTGAAATTAGGCCTGTTGTAGCATGGAAACAACATTTTAGTGACTTAATAAAAATCACATTATTTCCACAACAATAACTTACTAAATGTGGTAGATCAACACACACTTATCACATCCGAAAAAAAATAATTTTTCAAATCTAAAAAGATACTGCCTCCTAACCTCAGTCTAACTCCTATACCTTACTCTGACTGAATATATTACACAATTCAGAAGCAGGGCGTTCCAATCAAATTCCTCACATGCTCCTGTGAGGTTAGAAGAATAGAATATGCCTAGGCACTGTCACATGTGCAGAAGATGTTCTGCTGCATCTAATTAGTCAGGAATTAAAATCAATATATAATATGCTCAATGGTGATTGTTTTCACTGATTTGCTTTGTTACTAAACTTTAGATTCTAAGTAAAAGACCAACACAATCTATACTAAGCACTGTCCAGACAGAGGGTGTTCTGCGGCCTCATATGACAATCAGGGGAGAATCAAAACTCCTCTTACAAGCGTTAACCAGTGCTCTGCTGAACACTGGTAGAAGTCACAAGACTGCTCTAACTGCTCATCAGAAGAGATATCTAGCAGTGTATATTTACTAAAATAATTGCATTTCTAAATTATGTGTACTGTGGGAGACCAGATATAGTGAATGCATGCTCCTGGCTTTAATAACACATTAACTTAGTGAATAAGGTAAAATACTACTGACTTACATCATCCAATCATGCGCAAGAAAAAAATACTTCTTATTTTCTTTGCATGTGGTTGGGTATTCTTTGCAAAGTAAATCTTCACCAGATTCCCTAAGCTAAGGGAACAGATCCCTGCAATATGAAGAGCCTATTTACCTATAGTAAATCAACTCCAAACTGTCCACTCAAATCAAATGATCTCTTTAAAGCAACTGCAATGCATAGTTAGAACATAATGCCTGCTGCGCAAGCTGTGCCCAAAAAGGAGAACGGTGAGTAGCATAGTAATGTCATCACCAACTCATACTTCAAATGCCGTGAGATTTGGAGTCACAGGCAGCAGAAACTTCTGCTCACCTTACATGGACTGGATTTAGTACATATATTATCAAACTATTTTTACCCCTACATTTTTTTATGCAGTGTTTTGGAGGAGAGGGGGGCACCTTGAATAAGTGGACTATACCAATGAGGTGATAGTTATGCTTTAACACAGTTTGTGAAACAATTATTAAATTAGCATTGTCTAATAAGGGGTAGTAAAGTTGTATGACGTCAGTGGATGTCAGAAGTGTTCCAGAAAGTCAGTCCAGGCCCGACTTTAGCTTCTCTTATCAGGTGTGTATGCATGGCCCACTCTTCTCTCTGTATGTGTATCATGGAATTTCTAAATATCTGCAACACCATGATAGGGTTACAGGGTTACGCACGTGTAAATGCTCTGGACAGGGAGATATGCACTTTTCCACAGATGGCACTGGTAATGTTCTTTGTGTATGCACATTTATGGCTGCTACACACTTCTTAAATAAATAGATAGAGACAGCAACAAAACTATTTGTGTAGTGCACTGTGGAGAGATTAGAATATCTGTTGGGTTTTATTTCTCTCTTTGTCCTGGTGACAATTTTGCCTTTCATTTTCAGTCCCGAGGTCACTGGTACAGGAGTGGAAATCTCCCCAGTGAGGTTACAACAAAAAAAGTTCAAAAAGAGAAAAAAAAAGTTTTGATAATCTTTGGTTAAATATGGATAAATCTCCTCTTAGCAGATATGCAGGTTTACCAGTGGGAGATGAAATGTCTTGAACATCTCCAAGCAGGGGCGGACTGACAACTCATGGGGCCCCCGGGCAATAGGGGATCATGGGGCCCCTGTGCCCTTGCCCAAACTCAAAAAAGCCTATGAAAAAGGTACCAGGGGCATCTCATGGGGCCCCCAACTGACTCCGGGCCCTCGGGCAGTGCCCGAGTTTCCAAATGGTCAGTCCGCCCCTGTCTCCAAGTGAATACTCTCACAGGTCATGATTATTATAAACTGTTTAAGCAATGTCAACTGACACAAGCTGGCCTAAGAAGCAGTGTCTCTGTTTAATAGCTCCTAGGTAACATACAGTAGCTACATCCTCTGCTACAGAGACCATAGCACCCATGCAGGAAGCCTTCACTTCGGTCTGTGGCTATAGTTAAGAAAAAATACACATGTCCATTGGTACATCCCAAGCATTAATTCATGCAATTCCAACACATACTTGTACAACATCAACAAAACTGTACATTTTTTGTCACTGTAATGCCGTGTGTGTTGTGTGGAAGTCATGTCTTCTCTGGGTAAATGACACCTTCTTAAAGCAAACATGTTCTCCAGGTGCTAACTGACAGCTGAAAGTAAACCATGCCAATCTAACAATAACTGTGCATAGAGGATGTTGAAAGATTATTATTGCTCCTCTTCTCACTCTACTCTAGCATCTGGAAAAACTCTGCTTAACTTCTCTTTAGTTTTCTTCATTCCTTTGTTTCCATGTAGTGTTTTTTTTATTGGCAATAGTTTCAATCAATTGGGAAAGAAGGGATGATCATTGTATCCAGAAAGACTGTTTAAACTTTGAATTTACCTTCAGAAGTCTAATTCCTAGTCTGAGCTAGGGGTTGTTTAAAAGCTTTGACATGAGAGAGAGTAACACAATAAATTACAACAGCCTCTATACTCAGCTACTGTTAGATGGGATGTTGAAAAAAAAATGAATTTCTTGAAGTAAGCCCATCCGGTTCCTGGGTTGAAAGGTCTCTGCAAAAGAGGTAGTATACTAACCTCAATAGAGGCCCGTATCTCCTAACTCCTCTCCATTCTGGCACTGCAATTTCTGTTAGTGTGTATGACTTTGGACTCTTCCAGGAGTGTCAGATACCCGTGTCTCCTGACAAGCAATGTGGGTCCATCTTACAATCCTTATGTCACTGCCAAATCCATTCGGGACATAGGGGTCAGAATAAGGGACCAGGTGACAAGGGACACAGCCAGAAGTGTCAAACGCTGATACTAACAGAGGCTCCAGAATCTGCATAGACCTTTCAGCTCCATTTTATGAGAGCCTGACAAGGTCAATTTAACAAAACTGTAGCTTTAATCACAATGAATTTAGATGGTTTGCTTAGCTTAAACTTTCATAATAGAAAATATGACTTTACTTACATCATTTGGAATGGTAAGTTCATGAGAACTGGTTGGAGAAGTGGCATCCAGTCCTATGAAGATTAAAAGCAACAAGAAGTCATGGGCAAAGTTTACCAGTGGCATGCACATAAAACATAAAATGTAAAGTCCACACACATTGTACCACAGATGTAAAGAAAAATGAAAAAGATCATACTGCAGCAAAGAAAAGTACAGAACTTACAGCAACGTGAAAAAGATATTATGGGGGAACAGTAGAAAGTCAGCATAGATTTAAATATATCTATTATGCATTAAGAACCGTCAGTCTGACATCAAATGGCACCGGACAAAAATGTCACTTGATGCAATTAAAGAAGCAGGATAGACAAAGGAATTAAACTGACCGGCACATGGTTTAATTTAATAGTGATTGAGCTAATACTTGCACTCCCTGCCTGCTTAAATAAGCAAAGTTACCTATTCAATAATAAAAACAAAAAAATAAAAAAATGAAAGGATTGATTGTTGTTACTAAAGAAAAATATTGTGGGGTTTGGGCAGGATAAACAATGAAGGCAAGTGGAATTCAAATCAATAGGGTTAGTGGTATTTCAGACATCTCAGGAAGGAAGGTTTATTGGAGGAGGTAGGAAACAGAGAATACTGTAAGTTGCATACGTTTGTTTTGTAGAGGAGTGAATAGAGTTACAGGGGGAAAAAAGTAGTTGAGGGGTGGCTACATTCATCAAGATGCATTCTATTGTTTTAATAAGGAAAACATTTAAGGAGCAAAGCAATAGCTATTATTATAAGGAAAAAGAATGGACAGTCCAAAGCAAGCAGAGATTAACAGAAGAATGTCTACTATTTCATCATGTACATCTTCACAAGATCAAAATGTATGACGTTTATAAGCATCTAAAGTAATTGATAAAATTCATATATTATTATTATTTATTATATTTTTAACCATGGCATATATATATAAAAATTTGTGTTTAATGCCAAATTATATATTTTTTTAGAATTCTTGTACATGATAAAAGCAATAACAGGAACATCATACTGCAAGCATGTACCAATGTAAAGTTCTGATGAGGGTAACAAGTGAATAATGTTGAATTAGTTTTTTGGTTATTTTTCTCTTAACAGAGAGTTTGTGATTTTAAGGACATCTTAGAACAAGCTATATGTCCTCAGTGAATCTAATTACTTTTATGACTAGTCTTTATACCTTTGAAAAGTCAGATATATTGGAATTTCAGCTTTATTTATACTTCATAATGTATTAATGTCAATGTATATTAGTATATGCTTGAGTACACCAGTTCCTCTAATGGACAGCATAGGTATCTTTAGTTTATGTTAATGGAAGAAAACAAACTGAAGCAAATTAAGACTGACAAAGTATAGGTGAATGTGGCAGCAAAAACAAAAACAAGAAGCATCATATAATAAAGATTAAAAAGGATAATGGTCATTGACTGCATTTAGTAAAAGAAATGATGTAATGACCATGGGAAAACAAAGGTGTTAAGAAGAAGGACATTCTCAGGGGGTCATGGGTACGTACCAGGGAAACCAGGGGTGGTCTGCCCAAGGGGAGTAAAAGGGGTATGCTGCATAGCCAACTGGTGAAGCTTGGTCAACTGCAGGGCAGGATGGGAAATTAGAACTAACCAATCAAATGTAATTATATCAGAGTACAGAAAACCATCTATTGTTTAAAAATAAAAACAAAACAACTGGATTATTAAAATTAACAGAAAGATAGGATGAAACATTCTTATCTAAGCTATGATAATAGATAATACAACAATTGGAAATACATTACATTTTAATTGTTATTTTATGTAATAACTACAATTATTGTTAACATACAAAAATAATACTACATGGGTGGAACTTAAGTACATGCAAAAATAAGTAATGACAAAAGTATAGATTTCAGTTTGCATCTGGGCTGCTATACTTTCTACAAAATCAAATCACATAATCTAGTTACTACTTTCTACTTGTGTTAGGGCAAAGAAAATCAATTAATCTCCGACAGAAAGTAAATGCTGCCCAGTGCAAATAAATAGGGTAAGTCTGATATTATTGACATGCGCTGGACTCACGTCTGGATGTGGAATAGCATACTGCCCCTGAATTGCAAATGCCTAGAAAACGACAAGTAAATAAAAATTACACTTGAGCTTTTTACTTATTTATTTGTTTTTTTTCTTATATGACTACAGATGAAAATTCTACAAAAATGATTTAGTTAAGGATACTGTATAGTATTGTAATTGATCAGGAATGACATGCTCAGTTCTGACGCTGAATATTTGAAGAAGTTATGCAAATTATTAGGGTGGAAAATGACTGACTTCATTGCCATTTGGAGATAGAAAATCCAGTCATCAAAGCCAGTATTTGGAGGTACCATGACCTAGTCACCAATAGGTCACCTGTTAAACAGTTGAGAATATACTTATTGGTCCACCTGCTGGAACAGTAGCTGCCACTTCTTTGGTGCCCAGCTACTGAACACTTCTACACTTCTAGGCATGTAGAATCCTTGCTTCCTCATTGGTTACTGAAGTTCCGTGCTTATACATCACTACAGGAGCAGATGGGAGGAACCATATTGACCATCAGGGGAGCAAGTATTCGACTTATCCAATGGTCAGATACCTGCAGAGACTGGTAAGAAAGTAGGAAATGGCTTTTTAATACATAGGCCATTGTAAAGATAAGTATATTCATGCCTATTTTACAGGTGACCCATTGGTTAAAAGTGATCCCGTGGTGACAGGTTCACTTTAAAATATATTCTATAGTAGATAAATTTTTTAGTACATTTGACATAATGCCAAATTGTTTACAGTTTTTTTTTAAAACAGATCTTCACCCTCTGAGTAAACTTCCCTCCAATCCACCCCTCCTGCCCTCTGATACAATTGTGCTGTCTTTTTTCATTTTTGTATTGTTTATTTAAAATTTTTATGAAAAATGTGGGACCCCAGCCCCTGGGGGGACCTAGGCACATCACTCACCTAGGCGAATGATGTATACAGTGCTTGCAGGGCCTCCTAGGACATGCACATCTCATATCCCAGGAGGCATAGCCCTTCATTCAGAAAGGAGGAAGGGGCATGCCTAGCTTCGCATCATCGGGAGGTACACTGGCTGAATCTGGAAAAGCCAATGGGCCGCTCGATGACATCACAAGCAACATGGCGGCACGGGACCGAGTGGTGGCAGGAGACAAGAGGATCTCAGTGGGAGTCACAAAAAATGATATGGCTAACAAAACTGTATACAGAGAGGCATGATGTTAAACATACAGAAAAAATAACGGGCAGCAAAAAGATTTGGGGTTTCCTTATACCTTAAGTGCAGTCATATAACAAATTCTATTAATTTGACTACTCCACAACTGCTAAATGTCCATACTGTACAGGGAAAAATAATATTTGTTCAGGAACTGTACACATGCACTGACATATCTTCATATGACTGCACCTACTATCATGGCCATTTGATAGCCAATATGATATTATCTGATCTCGAATATTGGGGTTTCCCATACAAGAATCAATATTGACAGAGTAGGTATTGATAAATAATTAGCCCATGCATGAGATCTTTTAGTCTGGAGAAGATGGGGTTGGTTTACTGCTCACTTTGCAAAGGATGTTGCAATTTTTTGGAAGAGAATTTGCCCCAAGATTAAAAAAAGTAGCTGACCAGCATTCTTGCTTGTATATGATTAGATGATGGAAGTAGAGCAGCAGAGCTTCATCTCATTCACTAAGCTCTGGAGAAAATACCTTTTGCAATGTACAACTTCCCTTTCAATATGAACGGTCTATTTGCCTTTAGTAAATCAACCCCTGTGTGCTTTGCTAAACAATACAAGTCTTATAGGCTACTATGAGGAAAAAGGCTAGCTTTTGATTATTATATACTTTTTTCATCAATTTCAAATTTATCATTTAAGCAGAGGACTGCATTTCCACCCCATTTGTATAAACTGTTAATCCTCATCGTATATTGATTTTTTATAATTTCCTTTAATATTGCTTTGCGCACTAAGATAATAGTAGAATGCATTTGAGTTTGAAGATGAAATATGTATGTATTTGCTAAAATATCTACATAAAGGGCTTACTTTGGGAGTTTATACACTGGCAAGTTTGCATTGCCAGATGGCCATTCAGAAGTTTAGTTTGTTTCTGTGCATACAATATGCAAATGTAGGTAAAAGCTAATGTTTTCTATGTTGCTTTTATGTGAATTTTCGGTGTTGTTTAAAAGGAAATTATAATAAAAAGTACTTGGAAAATAATTGTGAATGTCTTCTCCAGGGTAATAGCTCCTTGATAATATGACCTCTAAATATTGCCTGTGATACTGTAACCAAACCTGAATAGCTATATTATTATTGTTAAATGTTCTATTAAACTATATGGGCATGATTTATTCAGCATAGGTAACATTATTTCAGACAAAATTTGCTTGCATGGTTTTAAGTGGCATTTCTGTTTGCTAAAATTAAGTTTATTTAAAAGGCATTTAGTTTAAAAAGGCAATTTAATTTATTTAAAACTTAAAATCAAGTTTATTGGTGTTTTTTTAATCAGGTACATTTCTGTGCTATTAAAACATAAGAAAACCCATACATTAGGATTGCTCATATACTTAACCTCCCTGGCGGTATGATTATTTCAGATTTTTGGTGCTGAAAGCGGTACCATTATTTTGCATGGAAATTTGGCATTTTATATTGTAGGCCTGTAATTCTTAGGAATAACTCATTGAAATCTGTCCGAACAAGAGTCTAGTAAACATCCCGGGTAGGTAAAACTTGAAACACGAAATCATAAATTATAATTTAATAAATAATCATAAAAAATAATAATATAATAATAATAAAAATTTTAATTCAATAATATAATCAAACCAAAAACACTGAAATTTGAAATATAGCGCCAAGTTCGCACATCACTGAGCAAAGTCGCAAAATCGTTTTCAGTGTCTGATGACGAATTTCCCCACGAATCATTATCACTCAATTCTGCAAGTGGTTCTGATAAAACAGCTTTTGACATAAAGGGATGCTTTTTGGACGCCATGGACGTTTCTCAGTTTCCAGGCAATAAGAACAATAAAAATGCAGGCAGGGCACAGGACAAAGCACTCGGGGCAAAATGTATGTGAAATGGTTTGATACAGGAATGTTATACTATGTGATTTTAGTGATTTTAGTGAATGTCACTTTTTGTCATTTTCAAATCTCCCGCCGTTCCGTCCCCCGTACATCCTGACGCTTGCAGGGGACGGAACCCAGAAGACAGACGGATTACATTGCCGGGGACACTGCAGGAGGGACATCGCGGGAGAGCGCAGGACAAGGTAAGTGATCGAGGGATCCCGGAGCAGCGCCGCATGGTATTCCCGAGTGTAGCTCGGGGTTACCACTTGTGGTACTGAAACTTTACTCCGAACTACACTCGGGAATTCTGCCAGGGAGGTTAACATAACCAGATTATGATATTTTTTGCAAACATACATCTAGTTAAAACATTTTAAAACTGAACTGGCTCTGTACCAGGGGTGGATTGACCATTTGGAAACTCAGGCACTGCCCGAGGACCCGGGTTTAGTAGGGGGCCCCATGAGATGCCCCTGGTAACTTTTTCATAGGCTTTTTTGAGTTTGGGCAAGGACACAGGGGCCCCATGATCCCCTATTGCCCAGGGCCCCCATGAGTTGTCAGTCCGCCCCTACTTTGTACTGAACTTAAACTAACTAAAATGGTGGCTGGTTGACTGTGATCTACCCATCAATGATGGCTATCTGGCACAGAGACTGCAACCCCGCCTGTCACCTCTCACATTAGAGCGGCAATCTATAATATGAGAAGCAGAGCTGAGGAATGTACTAGCAAGGAATTGGGCCAGACAGGAATGAGAGAGCCAACGTCAGTTAGTAAGCAAGGCCCTGCCTAGAAGCCAGCACTGCCAAATCACAAGATTTGTCTGTGTTAAAGCAGCCTCAGGAGGTTCTGGCAGAACGAGGGCAAATGTGCTGTAGAATAGGTAACTGCAGGATGGAACTGGGTGAAAGGATGGCAGGGGTACGGTGCCAGGGTCCAACAGGATGTACAAGGTTTCTTGATGTAATGATAAGTCCTCGGTGCTGGGCTGGCAGTGTTATATAAGGCTGCTGCCTACAATGCAGATGCATGTGAGTACTTGCCAGCAACATCAGCATTCTTTTGCATTATAGTGGCAGCTGCCTAAAGAGAGGAAATAGTAAATGGTCAGGGCTGTAGAAACAAACAGGCAGTTGTGTGATACATGCTACTGACCTCTACACTACATCTTATGTACATCTACTGTTTTTTTTTTTGAGGTAATCTAACAAGTAGTAGTAAGTAAGGCAGAGTTGAGAGCTCAGTAGTATTTAAAGTGGTTGTAAAGGGAGACGTTTTTTTTTTTTTACCTTAATGCATTCTATGTGTATAACCTCCAAAGACATTGATAAATTTAACTTTGTACCTTAGTCATTTTTTATGTACCAACCAGGGGTGGACTGACAACTCATGGGGCCCCCGGGCAATAGGGGATCATGGGGCCCCTGTGTCCTTGCCCAAACTAAAAAAAGCCTATGAAAAAGGTACCAGGGGCATCTCATGGGGCCCCCTACTGACCCGGGCCCTCGGGCAGTGCCCGAGTTTCCAAATGGTCAGTCCACCCCTGGTACCAACTACTTCTATGATATATACTTTTTATGTGACCTTTCTTTGTATCTGCCCTTTCTTCCTTTATGTATGTACACTGCTCAAAAAAATGAAAGGAAGACTTTTTAATCAGAGCATAACATCAAGTAAATTAAACTCCTGGGATAATGAGCTGGTCAGTTAGGTAGCAGAGGGGGTTGTTAATCAGTTTCAGCTGCTTTGGTGTTAATGAAATTAACTTGAGGTGCACTAGATGGGCAACAATGAGTCAACCCCTAAAACAGGAATTGTTTTACAGGTGGAGGCTACTGACATTTTTCCCTACTCATCTTTTCTGACTGTTTTTCACTAGTTTTACATTTGGCTAGTGTCAGTGTCACTACTGGTAGCATAAGGTGATAACGACCCTACAGAGGTTGCACAGGCAGTCCAACTCCTCCAGGATGGCACATCAACACGTGCCATTGCCAGAAGTTTTGTGGTGTCTCCCAGCACAGTCTCAAGAACATGGAGAAGATTTCAGGAGACAGGCAGTTACTCTAGGAGAGCTGGACAGGGCTGAAGAAGGTCCTTAACCCATCAGCAGGACTGGTATCTGCTCCTTTGTGCAAGGAGGACCAGGATGAGCACTGCCAGAGCCCTACAAAATTACCTCCAGCAGGCCACTGGTGTGAATGTCTCTGACCAAACAATCAGAAACAGACTTCATCAGGGTGGCCTGAGGGCCCGACGATCTCTAGTGGACCCTGTGCTCACTGCCCAGCAAAATAGAGCTCAACTGGTATTTGCAATTTAACACCAGAATTTTCAGGTCTACCACTGGCACCCTGTGCATTTCACAGATGAGAGCAGGTTCACCCGGAGCACATGTGACAGACGTGAAAGGGTCTGGAGAAGCTGTGGAAAACGTTATGCTGGCTGTAACATCGTTCAACATGACCGCTTTGGTGGTGGGTCAGTGATGGTCTGGGGAGGCATAGCCATGGAGGGACGCACAGACCTCTACAGGCTAGACCAGGGATGGGCAAACTGTGGCTCTCCAGCTGTTGCAGGACTACAAGTTCCATCATGCCTCTGCAAGTCATAGCTGTAACTATACGTTTTGTAATGTTGCAATGCCTCATGGGAAATGTAGTTCCACAACAGCTGGAGAGCCGCAGTTTGCCCACCCCTGGGCTAGACAATGGCACCCTGACTGCCATTAGGTATTAGGATGAAGTCCCTCTACCCGTTGTCAGACCCTATGTTGGTGCAGTGAGGCCTGGGTTGCTCCTGGTGCACGACAATGCCTGGCCTCATGTGGTGAGAATATGCAGGTAGTTCGTGAAGAATGAAGGAATCGATAACATTGAATGGCTCCCACGCTCGCCTGATCTAAATCCAATAGAACACCTCTGGAATATCATGTTTCAGTCCATTCAACGCCACCAGGTTGCACCTCAGACTCTCCAGGAGCTCAGTGATGCCCTGGTCCAGATCTGGTAGGAAATACCCCAGGACACCATCTGTTGTCTCATTAGGAGCATGTCCCGACATTGTCAGGCATGCATACAAGCACGTGGGGGCCATACAAACTACTGAGTACCATTTTGAGTTGCTGCAAATAAATTTCAGCAAAATGGACTGACTGCTGCATAATTTTTTCACTTTGATTTTCGGGGTGTCTCTTTGAATTCAGTCCTCTGTAGGTTGATAATTTTCATTTCCATCAAACAATGGGGCATCCTTATGTTCCTAACACATTACCCAGTCCCTATCAGTATAAATATCCAGCATGATATTTTTTCCCCATTGAGATCTGTTGTGTTTTCAAAGTGTTCCTTTAATTTTGTTGAGCAGTGTGTATTTATATTTATTTTTTTTTCTTGCTATACTAATCCTTAACTGGGTTGCTTATTGCATCTTATAAATGTATATGTTCTTTGGATGTTTGCCATCTCTCTATGTTTGACATTTATAGAGAGACAGGTTATGTCAAAACATATAGAAACCTATTTATAAATGAGTGAAACATTTTTTCTTTTTAGTTTCTTCTTTTTCACTTTTATCCTTTTAACCTACTTATACATAGCCAAACATACAATTTTCCCAAATGTTCTTTCATCATTGGATTGTTATCATGCCAAAATCCACTTTGAGTATTTTCAACAGTGCTATTCACCTGTCCTCATCTTCAGAATAGCTTTTTTCACAACTCCAGAGTGGGTGTAATCCAATATTATAAGTGTATTTCTGCTTGGACAGTTATTATAATTTCTGCTTAAATGCCTCGGTGCCTCTTATTTTTTTTTTTTGCTTATAATGCTAGAATAAAAGAGAGTTTGGATCCTTCCAGTTCAGCTACCTCTTGACACATTAACCCTCCAGCATAACAGTGGTGACCTGTATTTTTATGAAAGGTGGACTTATTTATCACACATCATTTGAGATTAAAGTTGTAGGTAGAAGAAGTGCAAGAAATAGAATTAGACTTGGTATTAGACTCTTGCAGTCCCTGTACAGCAGAGCTCAGACTAGAAGAGGGAGAGGCAGTTGTCTGCAGTGCTTATCTGCCTTCAAGAAACATATGAGAAGAAAGCAGCATGATAGCAGAAGAGCTCATCAGTCTACTGCTTCTCCTTCACTGCTCAGTCATTGACTGCGAGAAAATACATAACTGTAAAAAAAACAGGAAAAACAAGGACTCTCGCCCAGCCCAACAGGTTTGTTCTGTGTGGCAAGGCTTTGTAAATCTCAGAACTGGATGTACAGAAATAAAAATCCTTTGACAGGTAAAACAGCTCCCAAATTTTTTTTTTTTCAACTGTTTATTGAGCGCTTTGTCTGGACGGCAGCTTTAAAGTGATTATAAAGGTACGTTTAAAAAAATGAAATAAACATGCAACACATACCTGCTCTGTGCAATGGTTTTGTACAGAGCAGCCCCAATCCTTCTGGGCTCCCCCTCAAGTGCTCCTGGCTCCTCCTCCCTTCCAAGTATGCCCATAGCAAGCCACTTGCTATGGAGAAACTCATGTGGGCTCAATCCCAACTTGGGATGTGTGCATCTGTTGACACACACAGAGCAGCTTGGTCCCTTCTCCTGCTCTCTTCTCACATGATTTGATTGACAGTAGCAGGAGCCAATGGCTCCCACTGCTACCTCCATGTTCAGTGAGAAGAGAGAGAGCAGAGAGCACTGGATAAAGACCATATTCGGGATGGGGGGGGGAAGTGGAGATTATCACAGAAGATTATTTGCCTTAATGCAAAGAATGCATTAAGGTAAAAATCCTTCTGCTTTTACAGCCACTTTACAAAGTGAATAACGACTTGCTTTAGTGAATAAGTGAGGCTGCATTGTGCTGAAATCTTATTTACACAAAATAAGCATACCTATTTATTTTTGTGGACTTTTGCACAAAACAAAAGCATAAATATAAATGAAAATATGTTCTAAAAAGAACAGAACAAGAACTTAGTCTGGCATGCCTGCTCAATTATCTTCTATAATTATTCCTTGACTGTTCAAAAACTAGACTTGACTTGTATAGTGGTTTGGTAAACCTATCAATTCAGTACCCTTTTAAATCAGATCTGTAGTAAATGAAGAATAAGAGACAGACACCCAAAGTGTAAATTAAGTTGCAAATTAATTAAAATGGGAAGACAGCATGCACAATGCTTTCTGAACCATCATATAATGCATGGTAAACAGGAGGAACCGATATAGTGATAATTGGGACTGCAGCGATTCTGAAATGACAAAGCAGTTGGGGTGAACTGGTTGACTATGTGCAAGCAATGTCTCACAACAACATGTATTCTTATACTATACCAGGAAAAACAGAGTAAACTAACAGGTGCTGGTTGAGGTTGGGCCAGGACGGCGTGATTTCCAGCTGAGGCCAAAATGGTGTCCGCTCTTACCTGGCCTCCAGCAAAAATAATAGGTCCAGAGGCAGGCTTTGGGCGATAAGGAATGGTGGCACCTTTTGGCGGGGACTGTTGAGGGAAAAAAAAAAGTGTGATAAATTATTTAAATTTTGTAAAACTGCAATTATTCTATAGTTTCTGTAACTGCTGCATATGCTAATCATCAAAACATTTCTACTATTATATTTGTTTTCTAACAAAAATGAGGCTTACTTATCAATATATCTGAGGAAAGAACAATAAGATAGCCTTTGTTGCCCATAGCAACACGTTTCTTCTAATCCCACTACTGCCACAATAATAGAGCCAACACGGGCAACCCAGACTATCTCATTCATTTTTTTTTTGAGACATTTTGATGAGTAGTCCAGTCCCTGAGGCATGAAAAACAGTATCAGCAGCAAGGATAACATACCAATCTCTATGAAAATCATTCATTTGTTCATTCATTCATTTAATCAATCAATCATTGTAGTCTAATTCAATAAACAAAATCAATAAAATCAGTTGGGTAGTTTAGGCTCACCTCTAACATAACAACACAAATTTGTTTAACACACTGGATGATTGCATCAGGAGTGCCTGATATAGTAACCGCACGTTCTGTTGAATTGGGCAGCATGTCCCCTGCTACTTGAACTTGAGCACCTGTAGACTGAAATAACCAGAAATAAAAAGCTTGTTGAATACATCATACACAAATACAAAAGAAATGACAAAGTAGTATTTATTAATGCCCAATTATACCCAATTATAGTATCACCGATCTTTAGATGGCAAATAGGGCAGTGATGGCGAACCTATGGCACGCAGAGCCATCTCAGTGGGCACGCCAGGAAGAAGAGGAAGATGAGCGCACACGGACCACGCACACTGACCGGCCATCCAGATCTCGTCCACACTGGACCCCCATCAAACTACATCTCCCACATGTCTCTGGGGCCAGGGTGGGTGTGGACGAGAGGAAACGGCTCCTATGCGGATCTGGCACCAGGGGTGATGTAGCCGGGGGATGGGCGTGGAAGAGAGGAAGAGGCTCCCACACTGCTCCAGGGCCAGGGGCAACGTGTTCAGCATGGATGGGAATGAGCTTCTGGGTTGGAAGCCACACCGACACTGCCAGAGGTGAGATTAACTGCTTGCCAACCATGCTATAGCCAAAAGATGGCTACAGCGTGGTTGTCTAGTTCTGGGAGGGCGTCCCAGAATGCTCTTTTTTTTAATTTATAGTGCAAAAAATAAAACACCCCAGTGGCAATTAAATACCACCAAAAAAAGCTCTATTTGTGTGAAAAAAAATGATAAAAATTGCATATGGTGACAGTGTTGCATGACCGCACAATTGTCATTGTCAAGTGCAACAGCACTGAAAGCTGAAAATTGTCCTGGGCAAGAAGGGGGTAGAAGTGCCTGGTAGGCAAATGGTTAATTGCAGTGTTGGCACTTTGAAATAAAAAAGTTGGTTTTGTGTTGCAGTTTTGGGCAGTTGGCTCAAAAAGGTTCGCCATCACTGAAATAGGGTATGTATTTAAGGGACACTTACAAGTCCATTGGTTAGATATATGTTTCTTTTAATATCATAGCTGGACTCACATTAAAGAAGCAATATAGCCACATATTTTATCTTTATTGAAACCCTTAGGGGGCCAAGTTAGTGTAGCCCTTACTCCCATATTGATCCCCCCTGTGGGATCCCTCTGAAAGCTGCAAATCATTCTCTGATTGGATGAGGTGGAAAGCATGACATCACTGCCCAGTCTTGCAACCTCATCCAATCAGAGAACACTTTGCATTCACTGGGAAAAGTGATCTCTGAATGGCGCCTGTTCCAAGTGAGTGACTTCTTGTGTTTATAATGCAGCTAGTGGAGATCACTGTAGAATTGGCGTCAGGTATGGTATATGCATAGTTACAACGGTCCAAGCTGGACCAATGTTACTATTTAAAAATATCCATACCTATACATTTTATTTAAATATGTTAATGTAAACAAGTTATTTACAACTGCCCATATAGCAGAATTGGATGGCCAATTTGAAGTGACCACCCCAGACCATATTAAGTGTGCATTATAATAACATCTATGTACTATGTTATTCTTTTGTTTTTTGTTTTTCTCGAGTTTTCAGTATGCCCTGTCCTGAGGAAGCACATCTATGAAATGTATTAAGTTATTGGCACTCTTCAACAGCTTTTTACATCCATTTTATTTTGACATTATAGATGTTGTGATATGAGAACTTTATATTTGAGCAAATGAATCTTTGGTCTGTATTAGGCATTTAAATGTGATTTATATACACACAAAGGTCTGTGGTTGAATTATCACCATAAGGGTTTCTGTTCATTTGTAGATATGTGTTTTTCACATCATTGATGTTTTTAATCCTGAATTCCATGTTGTTAGGTTGAGTCACACAGTATAAACTTTTTTTTAATTGTGTTAGTTGTTATTTTCATAGAAATAGTTCACCTTAGAAATCCGTGAGTTTGTCCTATTTAGCTGGATTGTCAAACAAAAGCTATTCTATGTGTATAACCTCCAAAGACATTGACGTATTTAACTTTGTACCGTAGTAATTTTTTTATGTACCAACTACTTCTATGCTATATACTTTTTAATGTGACCTTTCTTTGTATCTGCCTATTATTTCTTTGTGTGTATATATATATATATATATATATATAAAATATTTGATGGTGGGTGGATTGAATTGGGTGGATCATGTAGCATTGTCTTTTTTAATTCTAGCCTCTTCCTTTGACCTTGTGCAGCTGTCTGATCAATCAATATTCTCAGCATAAGCAACTAAGCTCTAATGCTGCCAAAGGACAGAGGTTATGGTCAACAGATCTGTACAACTGCGTCCCATTGACAGGGTTTACACATAATAATAGTGGGGTCCCAGTTTGTAATCCATTTTATTGTTTTCTTGTTTTAATGTATTACAAATACATACTATATATATAGTATATATTATACAGTGTGACAAGTATGTATTGTTTGATCACAACAGTGCGCAGTCTAAAATTCCCCTACTACAAGGCATATATTTTGCCATTAATTATACAAATTAAGAAAAACTTTTTTTAACCTGAAATGGTTGAAGCAATGAGAAAAAGGATTAAAATTACCAGCTAGTAAAACAATCAAGGGTTCTTGTAGGGCATAGTATGACACATATTTCTTTAGATTATATTTAGATTCACAGCTCAATGATTGTTTTTTTTAGGCATGGTATGGTACAGGTTCCTCCAGTTCATATTTACAAATACAATTAAAAAAATGACCCTGTATTTACTATATTTGGTCTCCCACAGTACACAGAACATGGAAATGCAATTATTTTAGTAACTATAAACTGCTAAATACCTTTTTTCATCAACAGTATAGTCTTGTGACTTCTATCAGTGTTTGGCCGAGCACTGGTTAATCTTGTAGGAGGAGTTTTCATTCTGCTCTGACTGTCCTATGAGGCTGCTTAACCCCTGATCCTCTGTCTGGATAGTGCTGATTGGCCCTGTGCTGATCACATGCACCTCCCCCCCTAAAAAAATAAAAACTCTCTAGCAATACACACCACACCGAGCATGTGCAGCTTGCCCCCAAGCCTCTGTTCTATCAGGAGATATATTGGGGACAGTCAAAGAAAGGGAGGATCAGAGAAGACAGGACCAAACAGCCTTTTACACAATGAGCAGGATTAACCCCTTAGGTTCCACAGTGAGTATAACAAGCATGCTTTACTGCATATACAGACTGATTTTACTGTTGTGGGTTTAGTAACACTTTAATATTGGTTGTGCCCTAAAAATGTTTCTTCTGCTTTGTATGTGCCACTGGTAAACTTTAACTTTACTTTTTGGGATCACTTTAATGCCTAAGCATCTAGCCAAGACAAAAACCAGCAATATAACTATAGACTTAGTACTTCATTTTTGGATTTAAAATATCAGTCGTAGCATAGCAATGAAGGGGAGGAATGATTTTCAGGGGTCTAATTGCTTTATAGAATTGCTCCAGAATTTTGTGGAACCTTATTTTTTAAAGTGCATTTTGACCATAACGAAGACAAGCATAAATAACATTTAACTTTACAATTTTATTACTTCATTTAGCATTTGTTTTGGAGTTCTCCATTTACTTGAAAGCACGCATCCAAAACTAAAAAGCAGACTAAAATAAATCTGTTTTCATGCTAAGTTATAATATAGTTTTACCCACAGTTAACTGCATCTGTGGAAACATTCTATGTGGGCTATGTAGGGGAAGTTTAGGCAATTTCTTTGAGCCAAGACATATTATCACACATCTCTCTAATGTTTGGAAAGTTATGCAGAATAAAGGCAGCATACAAAATTTAAGGGCAAATTAGTCTATGGAAAGAAACAAAAACACAGTACAACCCACAAACCTAAAGTACTGTATAACTGTTTTTCTTACCTCCAAAGCTAAAATTCAAGCATTGAATCAACAATTTGTGCATGGTTTTCCCATATGTCTACTCTTTAAAAAAGGTCTCTGGTCTTTTACTGTCTAAGACATTTGTTTTTTGTTCATGTTTCTAATGGAACTATTTCCTTCTTTCCCACTGAAAGACTTCTTTCTAAAGCAGCTTTCAAGTTTTCAAAAAAGAATTCTTCAAAGTAACCCTCATAGTCACACATATCCATCCAAAGCTTATTGTAATAATTATTTCTCAGAAACTATTTAAAAATAAAAGACTGCACCTCAGAAATCAGCAACAGAATTAAAATAAAGAGCTTTGTATTTGCCCTGCAGAAAAAAACAATGAAGAGCTGCTGCATATATACATATATTAGTAGGATTCCCATGCATAATCCTAAAAACCCATAGGTCCAGTTTATTTGGGTCAGAAATGTTCCCAGAACTACATAAGACATGGAGATTCCTCCCATTCTGCCCTCTATAGTAAGCAATTGGGTTAGCTATTCATCCCCATCATATGACCTTGCTTGTAAGTGCAACTGCATTCCATATAGTATTATCACTGAGATTTACAGCGGGTCTAGATGCAAACAAGTATAATAACATATATAAAATATATACAATAGTGTATATGTATAAAAATATATATATATATTAATATTATTGATTATATATATCCCTTGTCTGGGTATATCATAATCTGCCTGTAGGGTAACTTAGCACTGCCTACTCTTCCACCATACATTGTATGACAGGAAGTGGCAAGTTACAGCCCAAATCCAAGAGGGGCCATTGTAAGTCAGTGTCTATATACTTTTTAACCGACCTAATTTTACTTTGGTGAAGAGTGACTGTACAGAGCGAAAACAGAGTAGATGAGCAATTATAACTAGGGTCATGGTAGGTATTACTGCAGAAATATCTCTGTAAAATGCCATGCAATACATAGAAAGATTTTGAATGGTTGCTTAAACCAATTTCACCAACAACCATAACCATGTAATACAGGGGTGCCCATAAAACTGATATGACAAAGTTTAGCTTTGCTTGTGTCAATAGGAGGAGTATTCAGTGCTGGTGCTTCAACTACTAGGCAAACTAGGCAGCCGCCTAGGTCATACTGCCACCTAGGGGCACCTGGGCGCAGCACAGGCCGGCACTCTCTCTGTGTGGCCTATGAACCTCTTGTATGAATTCTTCATTTCTCTGCAGAGTCCCCCTCTCCTCATACACATGGAATAATGAGAGAATGATGGTCTCTTTACTCTGCACAATAGTCTCACAGCCTGTCCACACACATGACCATTTAGTACCTTCTTCTACACAGCTAAAGCCATTCAATAGGCTGGGATGTGCTCTGGTTGCAGGGTTAACCCTATGTGAGCAGGATGATTGGGGCCTGATGTGTATGAGAGGGAAGCAGTGTAGTGCTGGGAGGCCCCCTGTCCTTACTGACAGCCGCAGCCTGGACTCTGCACCCAGGAGCCATCAGAAGAGAGCCGAACCTAGGAGGATGGCGTGTCATAGAGGTGATGAGAGGAGGAGGGGGGCGGACAATGATCGGGGTGAGGGGAGCAAATGCTGATTGATCATGTTGGATGCCGCCACATCATGAATGATCCTTCAGCTGAGGGTATGGGCAGCAGAGGGGGAGGAAGAAAGGACAGAGGAAGATGCCATGTGTCTGGGGCCGGAGTAGCAAATGAGCTGCCGCTCCTTCCAGTGTTCCTCTCAGACTCAGTCCCTTACTGTAAGTTGACTAGTGGCTGCTGATCACTGTGGAGTTTTGTAACTCTCTGTCTGATTGGTTAATACATTTCACTTCTATTTGCTTAATATATATTTTGTCTTTAATATTGGTGCTGGTGGCATCTTATGGTACTTATTTTTGCAAATAAAATTTTTTTCAGCTGTTTCATATTTTGTTGATTAATATTTTCTACTGCCTAGGGCACAAAACAGTCTAGCATCATCCCAGGAAGTATCTGAACAGGTAGGAATTATAACTAGTCATAACTACTTGTTGTCATCATGGACACAACCTGACCTTTGCGATCAATGCAGCAGATTTAGGCATCATATGTAACAACACAACAATAAGGAAATGCTCAATAGTGTAACTTTTGCAAAACAGAAAGTCTACAGGAGAGCAGACTGGGTGTCAGTTTTCCCTTTTCATGCAGAAAGCTAGGGAAAATACAATGATTTTAGGAAGCATGGTCTTAATACTAAGAATAATTAAGCAGGAACAGTTTCCCACATTAAATAGTATAATCAAAATTGGCAATGGAGATTAAAATGGACTGGATGATTTTCCTATCAAATATTATCTAAATTTATAATTACCAAAGGATAGTAAGAGAACATATTGATCTGGGGAATGTAGACAACGATCCTAGGGATTTTCTTCTTTGTTGGTCATAAGCATTTTCTAAATTTTATTAGCCACCATCTATTAATATCTAAAGGCTATGTTCTTTTTCACTGTTTTGCTACTTAGTGTGCAGATCAAATTTACTTGCTTCATACTTGTTCCAGATTAGTGATATATGGTAGTGAGCACCAGAGTGTAGGAAGGATGAGAGTACCACAACTGTTTGAATAGTTCACTAGATGTTTTTGTTCAATACAGAAAAGCCAATGCATTTTGGGGGGCTCAGCAATCCCCCTTCAACAGAGCTGAGAGCATAAAATATATACAGATGAAATGGGATTGTTGAGCTCCTAAAACACATACATTTGGAGATCTCTGGTGATAATCCCACTGTTGGAGAGCATCCTCTAGGGACCCAATCTTTGCCCATGGCTCATATAACATATTTAAGTTTGGTGCTCCTATACTACACACTTACAAATAAGTCAGCAATAGTAGCTTTCATATTTCAGTCTTGGCAGCTTCCATTATGTAAAACGGGTTGTATGGCCCAACTTTACGGTTAAATCTTCAGCCAGTCTTTTAAATCGTTGATCTGCTCTAAGTTTCAGGAGTTGGACTTTAAGCTGCTGACGCGCTGGTATTACACTCTGGCTGTTTGCTCATTGTAGTGATCGATGCTGGCGGTGTGGGGAAGATTCTGGTTCCTTGCTCGACATTGGTCCTGTCCTCATTTACAGGGATTTTGGGATGGCGTACACCATATCGCTCAAAAGTTTACTGATCATGTACTTGTCAGGGATCCAGCTTTTTATCTTTTGCATCATCACAGTTTTCTGGAAAGGTCCTACAGGCGCTCTATTCTACCTCTGTTGTTGACTGCAGACTGAAGAGCTGCATCCCTATGTTTTGGAAACAGACGCAATCCCCGACTATTTCGGTATAGCTGCGAAAGTGGCAGAAATTAATGCCGTGGAGGATATGGTGGCAACGGACAGGGGCGATTGTCAACGATTCCTTAAGTAATGGTATAATTGGCACGAGTTCGTATACTCTGAGGAATATGTTTCCCTAGTTGTTTGATTATTTGGGGTTCTGCACTTGGTCCTGAGAAGCTATGGGTCTGGCCCAGGAGGGGATGGTGTTGTATATATTCCCCCTTCTGTGCCCTGTCCTTGTCTCTTCTTGTCTTTCTCCTTATCTATCTATTTTTTCCTTTGTTCTTCTTTCCCTTTGTGGATTTTCTGATTGTAGACTTTTGCCCCTTTTGTGGCCTCTCTTCTAAAATGGAAAAATGTGCGGTGCAGCTGGAGGCACAGGTACCCTTCTGATCTAGAGTTAAGTGTCCTTAAATATTTTGTTCATCTTTTATGTGCTTTCTTATGCCTTGAGTGATTACACTTGAGAGTACAATGGTCATTTAGAATCTGATCTACGTCTTATTTGTCTTTGATCTATGATGACTTACTGCTGATATTTGTTGTAATATGTTTCTGTGTGCTGTATATTATTATTATTATACAGTATTTATAAAGCGCCAATAGTTCGCTCAGCGCTGTACATTACAAAGGGGACAAAACATGTGACAGAACAATACCAATACAATGCAAAACATGAGGGGATTGAGGGCCCTGCTCTTTCGAGCTTACAATCTAGGAGGGAGGGGATGGTGGCACAGGAGGAGATAGCTGTGGGGGATGGAGTGGTAGGAAGAGTGGAGGAGGTCGGCAAGTTAGCAGGGGGTGGGGTAGGCTTCCCTGAAGAGATGGGTTTTCAGGGTGCACCTAAAGGAGAGGAGAGTAGGTGATAATCTGATGGGTTGGGGCAGGGAGTTCCAGAGGATGGGTGACTCCCTGGAGAAGTCCTGGAGGCGGGCATGGGAGGAGGAGACCAGGGAACTAGAGAGAAGGAGGTCTTGTGAGGAGCGGAGTGTGCGTGCTGGGCGGTATTGGATATTAGGTCAGTGATGTAGTTCGGGGCAGTATGGTGGACAGCTTTGTAGGTCAGTGTTAGGATTTTGAATTTGATCCGTTGCGCAATCGGAAGCCAGTGGAGGGATTGGCAGAGGGGGGTGGCAGATACGGTTACGCTTGTTCTGATATCAAAAGCTGCAACTAAATAAAGAATTTATAAAAAATCTTCAGCCAGTGTCTTACTATGTATGGTCAACTTATGACAGGACATGACATACAATTCAGTGAATGATAAGTGCTGTTGAGCAAAGAATAACACTGAATTTGTTAGGTACACACAGTGATGGCTGCCATCATGTGTACCAACCAAATGTTCATGAATACACACCATATTATCTTCATTAGCACTAGGGATATGGCCTCACTAAATCCTATACACACAATTTACCAAGTCAGTTGGTTTACAGAGAATTAATAATGTTCATGAATACAATATTATTTTATGTGATGCAGTCGATTTACAAACAGCTTTTTGAACACGTGCCAACCAAAATGCAGAAACCATTTTAATACTGTTTATAAAATACACAGTGTCTTACCTCTCTGATTTCTTTAATTTTAGACCCCCCTTTTCCTATAAGAGATCCGCACTGGCTTGCAGGCACAACTAGCCGTAGAGTTACAGGTGGTTTGCTTGTTACTGTGCTGTTTGTCATGGAAGCATTGATATCCTGTAAAACATTGAAAACATATTATAAATATATTATTTATATTTTATACAGCAGTTTGACAGTGAAATATAATATCCCTCTTCTTCAAGATACATTTTAATGGGGTGATTTAATAAAGAATGCAAGGTTTACACTAGCTCATCCAAAGAGGAAGTGTCAATAAAATGTTGCAGTCTTACAACATCCCAACTGAATAGGGTAATGCTTTATGACAGCTTGTGAGAGCCTTGGGTGGCACACTAAGGTCTTATTCCTTTATATTACAATGAAGTGAGAACAGGTTTGCTGGGCTGATAAAACATTTCTCTCTAATTTTTAAAGTATGCTCAAAGGAAAACTGGGGTCAATTTTATAGCTCAAATATGTTTTAATCTAATGTTTAATAATTGTTTCAATGTGAAAAGTATATTTTCACCAATAACAGCTAAACAGAATACCATGGGAGAGCAGGAAAAGCAAGTGTGCTGTTGTAGATGGGGCAATAAATGAACCATTTCCTTACCAGGCCAATTCTGACAGTTCTCTCATATATGTAAAAAATCTATGTTTTTTTGCTAGAAAATTACTTAGAACCCCAAACATTATATTTTTTTTTGTAGCAGAGGCCCTATAGAATAAAATAGCAGCATGGTATTTGCAACAGTGATTTTTTTTAGCACAGTGGCTAAGTGGTTAGCACTTTCTCCTGGCAGTACTAGGGTCATTGGTTTGAATCCCAGCCACGGCACCACCTGCCTGGAGTTTGCATGTTCTCCCTGTGCCTGCGTGGGTTTCCTCCGGGTACTCAGGTTTCCTCCCACACTCCAAAGACATGCTGGTAGGTTAATTGGCTCCTGTCTAAATTTGCCCTAGTATGTGTATGTATGAATGTGAGTTAGGCACCTTAGATTGTATGCCCCTTGAGGGTTAGGAACTGATGTGAATGTACAATATATATATGTAAAGTGCTGCGTAAATTGACGGCGCTATATAAGTATCTATAATAATAAGTACCTATAATAATAAAAAAAAAACATAATATATAACTAAATTTTTTGTAAAATATTAAAGGTGATGTTACGTCGAGTAAATAGATACCCAACATGTCATGCATGCTTTAAAATTGTGCATGCTCATGGAGTGGCACCAAACTATGGTACTTCAAAATCTTCAAAAATTTCTACAGGGTACCAGTTTAGAGTTACAGAGAAGATCTAGCGCTAGAATTATTGCTGGTCACGGCGATACCTCACATGTGTAGTTTGAACACCGTTTTCCATATATGGGTGTGACCTACCTATGCATTCACCACTACGGGGTACGGGGGGGAGGGGTGATTTACATTTTTTTAAATTTATTATTTTTTTTTTTGATCACTTTTATTCCTATCACAAGGAATGTAAACATCCCTTGTGACAGAGATAAGCAGGGACAGGTCCCTGCTTATGGAGAGATATGGAGAGATCTGGGGTCAATAATACCCCACATCTCTCCTTCACAATGTAAAGCATTAGATTAAAAAAAAAACATTGATATAATGTTTTAAAAAAAATGGCCTTGTTTACATTAGGCTGGAACTGACATTGCTCCGGTCCTCCTAGGCCATAGAGATGAGTGGAGGCCATTCTTTCCTTTACTTAAATCTATATCCAGCTGCTGCAATCATTAGATTGGTTCTTGGGCTCATGATCATCCAGGTAAGCCCGAGAACCATAGGAGGCCAATTCGCTGCTAGGATCACTTTTAGCAAAATAGGAATCGCAGCTGAAAAAAAAAAAAAAAATACTGGGGTTATGGCACATTGCTGCAGCCATAACCCCTGAATTGCACTCCCAACTGAGGACATATTTTGACTATAGCCCGGTTGGGAAGTGGTTAAAGCAGTTGCTTTGCCTTGCATGGACAACGTAACATTGGTTTGATTAAAGCCTGCCATTACAAAAGCCACTACAGCTAACGAAAATTTTAAAATTTTAGAGGTCTAAAAGTAGTGTAATTTCACAAATTCATATTTACAAATAAAAAGTACTAACAATATAATTGACACCACTGCTTTCCCATTTTATCCTTCTGTAATATATGCATGGAGACAATAGCATCTTTTCGCAGTGTTCCATAAAATGCCTTGTTTTGACTAGATTAAAACACCACGGGAAAAACAAGACTGAACTGTATTATTTCACTTGTTTAAATAATAAAAAAAATGACACCTGTTGAGAAATGAGTTTAGGGATTAGCATAAATCCATCAATAATTTAGAAAACCCAGACACTCCACAATTGGCAGTTGTCCTTTCCTTAACCTTATAAATACAGTATTTCAGCAATATATATTTTCTCTTTTTTTCAGTCCTGTGCTGTATTTGGCTGGCATTCACTTAAAGACAGTGGTGCTATAGTAGAATAATGTCTTATTTATTTTTGATTTTATTTATTACAAGTATTTATATAGCGCCGTCAATTTACGCAGCGCTTTACACACACACACACACATTATATAATATATATATATATATATATATATATATATAAGAGAGCAGGGCCCTCGAACCCCTCGTGTATTGTATTGTTACTGTCTTGTCTCATGTTCTGTCCCCCTTGCTACTGTACAGCGCTGAGCATACCCTTTGGTGCTATATAAATACTGTATAATAATAATAATAATTATATATATATAAATATATATATATATATACTATTCACATCAAGGGGCGTACAATCGAAAGTCCATAACTTACATTCATTTCATACATACACATACTAGGGCCAATCTAGACAGGATCCAGTTAACCTACCAGCTAGTCTTTGGAGTATGGGAGGAATATCCAGAGGAAACCCACGCAGGCACAGGGAGAACATGCAAACTCCAGGCAGGTGATGCCGTGTCTTAAACAGGAACTTCAGCTAAAACACTTATTAGTTACATACAAAACTGGAAATCACTATGGTTGATAACATTTTTTGATGTAAGCACTGAATAATTGATCCAGACTGTACTTGAGGCCTCAACTTGCCCCTGGTATTTGAAGGTCAAAGGTCGGAACTATTGCCAACTAAAGAATACACAGTGTGGAACTTAGCACTATGAAAGCCTGGGGCCTAAAGTGTATGTATAGTCGAAACCTTTTGGGAAGGGTCAAAACACCTGTCAGGTTTTTATTGCTACCAGTATCCATACTTAACCCACTAGTTGTCACTCAAATAGGAATAGAGGGAAAATTCTCTGAAGACACCTGTTGAGGTAACACCTGTCTAATGCTGGCCTTACATCTGTAGAATGTTGATAAAATAAGAAAGTATAAAAAACTGACCAGAGCATTTAATGGGCTTCATGAACGCCACTAATTTTGAATGACTTTTCATTTGAGTACCATGTCAATGTCTTGATTTTCATAGAAAGATTTTGGTGTGTGCAGAAATAATGTAATGTTATATGTTTGGTAGGAAGAAAATTCAACTATTAGTAATTTGTTCTCTCCCTTTAGATTCAACAAAAATTCTCCATTGTTGCCCTTCAATTTTTTAAATCTCTCTGGTCAAAACTAATTGTGGAATTGTCCCCTTTAACTCTAAGATAACGAATGTTCTGAGCATGGCAATTTTCTAACAAAGTTCTACAGGTGTGAGGCCAGCTTAAAGTGATTCTAAAGGCTTTATTTTATGCTTAGATAACAAGCATGTTAGGCTACGTTCACACTAGTGTTGTGTGCAGGCGGCAGAGAGGCGTTTGGGAAGCGTTTTTACCGCTTCCCAAACGCCTCTGCCAATTCTGCACATTACAGCACATGGTGCTGTTCTAACGGGAGCGTTTGCATCGTGTTGCGTCGCGGCAAAACGGACACCTCTGGTCGAGTCAGGAGGCGTTGAAGCCTCCTATTCTCGTCTATGGTGCCGCTCCGCAAACGCCGGACAGGTGTTTGCGGTGCAGTTGCGACGCGGTTGCGGGGCGTTTGCGGAACGGTAACACCAATCAAACTGCATTATAGGCGTTTGTGGGGCGTTATTAACACTCGGCAAACGCCTAGCAACCGCCGCTAAACCGCGCATGCGGCGTTTGTGGAGCGTTTGCCGAGCGTTAAAAAACGCTCCGCAAACGCCGGACCAACGCTTGCCAAATGCTATAGGGGTGTTTGGCAAGCGTTGGTAAAACAGCAAAGTGTAAACGAGCCCTTATACTTACTTTCTTTGTGCAATGGTTTTGCACAGAGAAGCCCCGATCCTCCTCTTCTTGGGTCCCCCGCTGGAACTAGTTGCTCCTACCCCCCCACCAGTGTCCCCATAGCAAACTGCTTGCTATGGGGGCACTCATGCATGCTCCCTGACACCTCGAGCATGGTTCGGCCCTGTCCCCTACTCCCTCCTCACTGGCTGTGATTGAAAGCAATGGGAATCAATGAGGCGGAGAGAGAGCCGCTGCTCTTTTGCACACCGCTGGATCGAGATTGAGCTCAGGGGAAAGAGAGGGCTGTGAGAGGAGCTGCATGAAGGTTTTTTTTTACCTTAAAGCATTAAGGTAACAAACCTTCAGCCTTTAGAATCATGGAATTCCTTTGACATTTGAGAGACTCTCACACCCTGTTACATCTTAGTTGGACATAGACAGCAAAAAATAAAGTGACTGTCGCTTAAAATAGAAGGAAAGGCTAAAATAAAACAGCTATAATTAAAATGTTGCTCCTTGTTTTTTTGCATTCTGCATACTATTTGTAAAAAATATCAGGTTTTAATCATCTTTACAGTGGTCACATGATCGGGAGCAATGGATGCGATGAGTGATGCCATGGGTCTGTGTGATTTAGCCCTGTGGTCAAGCCACTGATTTAGTAACTAAATAATGTAAAGTGCACTACCAATGGCTTGCTAAATGCACAAAGAGATCTGGGATCCTCAGATTTGTCAGGATCTCAGGGATGGCTGAATGATGTCATGGCCATTTATGTGGATGGTGCAGAAGCTGTTGTTCTGCAGTTAATTTTTTACTGCTGCTATTTATTGCTTAGGCAACCATTTTAACCACTTGCC